CTGAGAGTACACAACATGTCAGAATTTGGTAGGCTGTAAATAGCAGTGTTTTTAGTTTATATTTTAGGCAATAAACATTGCCTTTTATGATGGTAGTATTCCAAATTTATATCCTGTTACCTCTTATTTTATTATTGTGGAGAAAAGAGAAGATACATTAGTGTGTTAATGTAACATGAGTGAGTTTCTTTTGGGCATTGTATAGAGAAGTTCAATTATTGAGATTATCAGGACTCTGCATAGCACTGTACCTTTGATAACAAAATCCTATTATTCAGATCTCAAGTTGAAAGTTATGTCAAAGCATCAGAGTACATTGGTGGATGTGGTAAGTCACTGAAAGGTACTGTATTAGAATAAAGGACTAGCTACTTAAAATATCCAATAACAAAAGGCAAATCTTTTGAAAGAGTAATCAGATGTTATTTGGCTTGAAGAAGTAATTTGTTCCTTAGATTTCTTTTGTGAAAAGGTAAAAATAAGGTAAAATGGAACTTGAAAAAAATGTTAGCTTTCTAAGAGACAAAAATGTTTTAAGGTAAACATCCCCAGAGCACTGAATGATAAAATGACATTTCTGATAAAACTGTGGATCTGTGTGTCATGGTGGCCAGGGGTCACACTTAATTGACAAGAAGCAGGAATCTTGTTTCAGGAGCTTTGCTTTTGCTCATTGAATATTTTAAGTAGAGATTTCTTAAGGGAAGACCAGAGGAAGTAAAATGGAATTGGTAATGGCTGAATATCACAGAATTTTAGGTGACAAAGGGTTTCAAAGGACATCTGATTCAGCCTTCTACAAAATTGCTTCCATCAACCCCCACAACAGCATCCCTGAGAGATTATTTCCAGCCTGTTTGTACACAGTAGTAAGAGTGAAGTCACTACTTTCAATTATAAAAGTAATATACGCTTGTAATCAAATAATTAGAAAGAACAGATTAGATTTTTTTAAAAAGTCATCCATAATTCACTACTAAAGGTGTAAACATTTTGTTGTATTCTTTCCTATCTTTTTCTTGAGCATGTTCTTAATCAATTTTGATCACTTAATTTATAACATTTTGCGCTTGATTTTTTTCTTGATATTGCATTAGAAGCATGTCTCTGCTCTTTTTTCCACCAGCTTTTTGTAGTCAGTGATTTAATTTTTGCATAGGGTGGCAACCTGAAGAAATAATCTATATTGCTCTCTCCTCACTATTCATTAATAATTCATTCTCTCTCTTAAACCTCTCAGGCTTTTGCTGTCACCGTTCCACTGAGATTGCTCTTGTCAAGGCCACCAGTTATGACCACCATGTTGCAGCATCCAATGGACAGCTCTCAATTCTCACCTTATTTAGTCCATCAGCAACATTTCACACAATTGATCACTTGACTTCCATAATGCCACTCTCTCTCTCTCTTTACTTTACTGGTTGCTCCTCAGTTTCCTCTTCTTTTCTCAATCTCTTAACTTTGGAGTGTTGCAGGCTCATCTGCACTCATTTCTTTTGGTGATTTATCCAGTTTCTTGGATTTAATAACATTTATATACTCAAGTTGCAGTAGTGAAGGATTCTATGGGGAAAATATTAAACGATGCAGGAAGCATCGAATGAAGATGGAAGGAATACACAGAGTCATTATATCAAAAAGAATTGGTCGAAGTTCAACCATTTCAAGATGTAGCATATGATCAAGAACCGATGGTACTGAAGGAAGAAGTCCAAGCTGCACTAAAGGCATTGGCAAAAAACAAGCCTCCAGGAATTGAGGGAATACCAATTGAGACATTTCAACAAACGGATGCAGCACTAGAAGTGTTCACTTATCTAAGCCAAGAAATTTGGAAGAAAGCTACCTGGCCAACCTACAGGAAGAGATCCATATTTATGCCTATTCCCAAGAAAGGTGATCCAACCGAATGTGGAAATTATCAAATGATATCATCAATATCACATGCAAGTAAAATTTTGCTGAAGATCATTCAAAAGTGGCTGCAGCGGTATGTCGACAAGGAACTGCCAGAAATTCAGGCCAGATTCAGAAGAGTACGTGGAACCAGGGATATCACTGCTGATGTCAGATGGATCCTGGCTGAAAGTAGAGAATACCGGAAAGATGTTTACCTGTGTTTTATTGACTATGCAAAGGCATTCGATTGTGTGGATCGTAACAAATTATGGATAACATTGCGAAGACTGGGAATTCCAGAACACTTAATTGTGCTCATGAGGAACCTGTACACAGACCAAGAGGCAGTTGTTCGGACAGAACAAGGGGATACTGCGTGGTTTAAAGTCAGGAAGGTGTGCGCCAGGGTTGCATCTTTTACCATACTTATTCAGTCTGTATGCTGAGCAAATAATCCAAGAAGCGGGACTATATGAAGAAGAAAGGGGCATCAGGATTGGAGGAAGACTCATTAACAACCTGCGATATGCAGATGACACAACCTTGCTTGCTGAAAGTGAAGAAGACTTGAAGCACTTACTGGTGAAGATCAAAGACCACAGCCTTCAGTATGGATTACACTTCAAGATAAAGAAAACAAAAATCCTCATAACTGGATCAATAAGCAACCTTATGATAAATGGAGAAAAGGTTGAAGTTGTCAAGGATTTCATTTTACTCGGATCCACAATCAACACTCATGGAAGCAGCAGTCAGGAAATCAAAAGACGCATTGCATTGGGCAAATCTGCTCCAAAAGACCTCTTTAGAGTGTTTGAAAAGCAAAGATGTCGTCTTGAGGACTAAGGTGCGCCTGACCCAAGCCATGGTATTTTCAATCGCATCATATGCATGCGAAATCTGACAATGAATAAGGAAGACCAAAGAAGGATTGACACCTTTGAATTGTGGTGTTGGTGAAGAATATTGAGTATAGCATTGACTGCCAAAAGAACGAACAAATCTGTCTTGGAAGAAGTACAACCAGAACACTCCTTAGAAGGAAGCGTGGTGAGACTACATCTTACATACTTTGGACATGTTGTCAGGAGGGATCAGTCCCTGGAGAAGGACATCATGATTGGTAAAGTAGAGGGTCACCAAAAAAGAGGAAGACCCTCAATGAGATGGATTGACACAGTGGCTGCAACAATGGGCTCAAGCATAACAACGATTGTGAGCATGGTGCAGGACCAAGCAGTGTCTGGTTCTGTGGTGCATAGGGTCAATATGAGTCAGAATCGACTTGAAGGCGCTTAAAACAACAACATTTACTGATAAATTCCACATTTATATCTCCAGTCTGAACCTCTCTTCCTACTTGACATATTCACTTGAACATCTAACAGACATCTCAAATTTAACATGCCCCAAACTGGCCTCCCTTGCCTTTCCAGACCTACTTCACTCTCAATCGTTTTCCTCTATGCTGATGGCAACTCCATTCTTTCAGTTTCTCAGACTAAACCCCTAGGATAATCTTTTGTGTCACATTCCATA